ACTACCACCTCCGCTTAATTGTGTGGGCTACGCGTCTGCGGTGGCGCCGTCAACGTCTGTTGCTGCTGCTGCTGCGGCACTTGGTATGGGCTGAAACGTTGAAATTGCCGCGGTCGCATATCGGGCGATGGCGAACCGCCCGACGACGTTGACGATGGTGTCGATGCTGTTGGTGGAGGTGGTGGTGTACGATTGGCTGCAGCCGCCGCCGCTGCTGCTGCTGCTGCAGCCGCCTGCGCTTGAGCTTGCGCTTGTGCCTGGGCTTGCGCCTGAACAGCGACAGCTTGTGCGGCGGCCGCTTGCTGATTGGCGCTGGCCAAAAATCCGGCCGTCAGTTGTGGCCATTGCTGCTGGAACATGTGGAATGCGCCGAGGCCGGGTGGTGGTGGCGCCTGCTGTGCATACATTTGTGGCATCATTAGCTGTGCGTACGGCGAATTGCCGCCAAACATTTGCAGATGTTGACGCGCCTTCTCGAAAATGGCCATCGAGGTGGGATCGACGCCTTGCTGCGCGGCGAATTGTTGCATCAGCGGGTCAGGGAAGAGGCGTAGCGGTGAGCGAAGTTGCTGTTCGAGCAACAATGCCTCCATGGGATCGCGATCGAAGTCGGTGAGACGTGACGAATCGCGAAAACCTTTGGCGAAGGGATTCGAGTCGATTTTCAGTTTGGTTATTAGCTGATTTTGGTATGCGGTGACGGCGGTGAAGACGGTCTCGGGAAAAACGTACGTCTTGTGGTCCAGTTCCTGCAGTTCTTTGGGATTTGTGGGTATGCTTTGGCCATGGCTGAGGCGAACCAAATGGATTCGCGGCTGGTAACGATGCATAGAATTCAAAACAATCTGAAAGAAGAAGAAGTATAGAGGAAAAAACGAAAATATTTATTAGTCTTGTGTTCGAGTGAGGCAAGTGGAGATTTTTTTGTTTAGCTGTTATGTATTCTGTAGTTACATACAAATATGTGTGTCTACTTATGAGCGGGATACGCTGACTTGAGAGCACACATGCGCAGTAAAAACTCTACAAAAGCGCGCTATGTATTTTGTAAGGGTTTGTGTGTAGTTGTCTGTTTTTGTGGCAGAGAATCTCGAAAGCAAATGAAATGAAATAAACACATTGATACACACTTATGTATGTATCTGCGTTCGAAAATCCCGCAGAGTGGAAATTTGAAAAATAAAATTTAAAAATTAAAAAATCACAAAATTGATGGCGTATTATAGGATTGGTCGGTACGGCGTACAAAGCTGAAATGGCGTTCAACTCAACGTGCTAAGCACGGTGGAGAGAATACAGAGGTGGCGCCGATGACGATACCGCTACT